ACCACACAGCAAACAACCAATAGCTGAAAAAGTGGGCATGGGATAATTTGGTAGAATTTGTTTAGGGGCTCAGGGCACTGCCAAGTGGGCACTATATACTGAAGTGGGTGAGATGTCAACAATCTTTTAGAAAAAACTCAAGGAGATGCACACAGAATCTGTGAAATAATTTCAGGAGTTCTTTGACACAGCAAAGTCAGTTGTGGAGTCTATGGATGGAGAAGTTAGAATTCCTCACATCTGTTCAAGGCAGGCATGTAAAACCAACTTCACCAACACCAATGGAAGGTTGTAGGCTAAATGTGAACACCCCATTTCTGGATTTTTTTTTCTGTAGTCAGCTCCAAGAAAGGTTTACAAGGCACAGGGAAGTAGTTTCTCCACATTAATTGTGGCCATTTAAAAATCCAACTTGAACAAGTGCACAGAACTTTACAATGAATGCCTTCAAGATATTGACACACTGATGGAAGAGCTTGACCTGTGGTGTAGAAAATGGAAAAATATTACACCTGCAAAAAATCCATCAAATGCGTATCTTGTTTGTGATAGACAGTTTTTTTTCCGAATGTGAAGAAACTTCTTCAGATTTCTGCAACATTGCCAATGTCAACAGCTATAAATGAAGTTATTTTCAACTCTGAAACATTTGAAAATGTACATAAGAAGCACAGTGGGACAAGAGAGGCTGACTGGGTTTGTACTCTTGAGTGTCCACCAAAGTAGCCTGATTTCTGTCGAAGTGTATTGACACAGTTTTCAAGTGTCTCCAACAGTTGTTGTGGTATTCTCTAGTAACCACTAAATTACCAATTAAAAGTTATTTTCAGTTTTTTTAAAGAATTGGAACTTTGTAGCTAAAATGGAAATTTGATTTAATTAAGTCTATATAAAAATATAGAATGAGTCATAGAATTTAACTCAGGTTAGTGTTTGGCAGCAAAAGTACTCGTACTCTGTTCTGACACAGAACACTTGCTATGATATGAATAATTCTTTTTTTTCTCCTGTAGCCCCCTCCAGAAAATCCAGGAAATGCTACCGCAGTGAGTATTCCTTTCACACAAACTGATTTGCATGTTTCATATGATCCTGGGATAGGACTCATTCTTTTGCTTGTTTTCATTGTAGCTTCCTCCGGGAAATCCAGGAAATGAAACTCAAGTGAGTGCTCCTTTTATATAAGAGACTTGCATAGTTTTTAAGGACGTTGTAATATGAATAATTCATTGTTTTCCCCTCTGTAGTCTTCCCAGATAGAACCTACCCCTCAACCCTAAGAAGTAAGTAGTCATTTTGAGATCACTTCTATTGTCCAATGGCATCGAGAACCTCAATCTTTGCATTGTTTTGCACTTTCTCTGAACTGGTTGATTACTTTTTGTTTTTCCAGGCATCACAAAGCTGAACATCTCATCCAGGAAAACACAGGTGAGTGAAGAAGAGGGTTGTTACCTCTGCATTAGCTGAGAATGCACATATCTGTCAAGGTCACCTCACACTTTCAGTATTTTAAAATAAAATTTAATTTCTTTCCATTTCAAATATGAAGAAATTTTAATTTTCTGCAACTGCTTATAAATGGAACCAAACCAAAAAATCTATTAATCTGACACATTCAGAAGATAAAGCTGTTCCTACCTAGACTGGATCTGCTTCTTTCTATCTGGCATGGAAGCGACCTCTGCAGTGAGTTCTAGGATGTCATCACATAGAGGTCCTTTATGCGAGGAATCTGGAGGGCAGTGAGGGAAATTTGTTGCCCAGCTCCCATCATTGGCCCCAGCACCTGCCTACCATCACATGGCAGAAAGGTACCTTTCCACCAAGGTCCTGCACTCTCCCGGAAGTAGCTGTACATCATGTGATTAGATCTGTCTGACTCTGTGCTGGCTGAGTCGCTGAAGTGTTCTATGAATGAGAAATTTCCAAATGTGATGAGGTCACAAGTCAGTTATCTGCCTCTAGAGAAAGATTCCCCCCTTTTAAAACATCATAGCAGCACCCATGCTATTCATCCAATAAAAAATCAATTTGCACATGACAATAATATCATGGTATGTTGAGACATATATTCTTTACATTAGAATCACAATCCCTGTCAGGCAATACCATGTTGTATAATTCTGGGCTAAACTGGCATAATCATTCTATGCCTATATACTTAAAATAAAACTACACCATGTTTAGTGAGACTTATTCTCTAATTAAATATATGTATGAAGCAGTCAAGCAGTTTATCTTTTCCTTAAGATCCATGTGGGGATATGACCTGATGCTTTTACAAGTACTATTAATCAGCCGCTGTGTTGAAATGTGGCATGAAAGCAAATAAATCTCGTCAATATTTTTGTACATTTTTGTTTTTCTAGATTTGCAACCTGAAGATGCTGAAAAACAATGACAACACCAGCTTCTATGATTTCCAGCCAGACATCACACATTTTTCTTACTAATCTAAACAATGGAGAGTCTGATGTAGTTCTTATTTTGATTTTGGGTGCCTTTACTGAATCTTATGGTAGAGGATTCCAGGGAGATATAAATTTTGAAGAAATAAAAATAAAAATACAGCAAAACATTGTCTCTTTCATTGTTTTCCAGTCCTAATTTCTTTCCACGCTGGACTGATGCATAGTGGTGGCCTTTCCATCAGGTCCAAAGTTGGCTGCAGCCACACATATCATGCATGCCCTACAATAGTTTCAGACATTAGACATAGGTTCCTACTCAAGGCCAGCAAGTGATTAGTAATTTAATTTACAATCTTATCATAAAGTCCCATGGATTCACCCCACATTGCTGCAAATCCATGGGCTCCTGGTGGGGTGTGTGGAGAACCCGTTGCCCCAAGCCCGACATCACGCAAATTGGCTTACCCCTCATTCCATGTGGGGAAGTGTTGCTACCCGCCTTCCCTCCACTGCTAGTAAGGCAACACGGGAAGGCTCATATGTTGCCATGGTGGCAGCGTGCACTGCTTCCTCTCTTCTTTTGGAATGAAGCCTGGCCGAAAGTGCCTGTCCATCATCTAATAGGCTCCGTGCCGAAAGTGGAGTGGAAGTAGCATATGACAGGCAAATCGGCACATCTGATGAGGTGATTAATCTTACTATACCCTGAACCAAATATAATGACTTACTTGGGATACTAAAGACCTTGTGGAGTAGGGGAGAGAATCCTTTGCTGCTCTATCCTAGCTCGCAAAATGTCTTGGGTTAGTCTTAAAATGAGTGATATATTTCTTGAATTGGAAGGTAAAGATGCAGACCTAAGTATTTGAAGGCACCAGATCTTATCTCAGAAG